TGGCGAGAGCTCTACGTGTACCTACATGTGGCAGCCGCACGACACACGAACGGATGTTTGCATCGCATTGTGCTATGGTTCGCCGTGGCAGGAAGTATCCCATCCAGTTAGGTCGTTGCCATAGTTGTTGTTGTTGTTGTTTTTCTTCACATTAAACTCGTGTCAGTTACTAATCCCAAAATCTAGCAAAGACTCGGCCCGTGGTCACAAAAATGCTAAAGCCATCAGAAGATCTAAAGAACACGCACACTATTAGCAAGAAAAGGGTACACAAGCCCAAGGAGGTACACCTACAATCCCTGCAGCACGTTTGCGTGCTCACAACTGAACTACACGCCCACACACTACAATTCGACATAGTACGCGGACGTCGTTCGGCGTCTAGTCCATACTGCTGTTGCAAAAACACAGCAGTAATCAAGCTATGCATGCAATTGTTTTTTGCTTCGGTTCACTTTTGCCTCCACAACCCGAGAATTCCACTGCTGTATCTCGATCTAGAAGACTCCAATCAACAACCAGCACCGGCAGAAGTGCGTGGAAGATGCTGTGACAGCACAACTAAGTCGATACTCGTACGACTTCGATGTACAGTCGGCGTCTGGTCCATACTGCTGTAGAAATACAAAAATCGAGCCATCTGTTTTTTTTTTTCCCCATACAGTACTATTAACAAGAAATGTATCACGTCACGACGACCATCCTGTGAGTACATATACAACATGATCTTATATATTCTATTTAGCCAGAAGGAATATTTTGATATTTTTCTGTTGCATCCCGTTCCTTCCCGTGGCAAGCCCATGGTATATTACGCGTTTTGCAGGTGATGATCGATTTGAGGGTATCTTGTTTTCTCCTCGCTCGGCCCTTCCCCTTGATTGCATAGACAGGACGGTGTAGTTTTAAGGAATAATAAAAACACACACAGAAAGACTACCCATTCGAGATATAGCCACAGTCGAACGGGATGTGGTGGAGTCTTTTCAGTGAGTGGAGGGAAACCGGCTGGGTACTGGACTTATTTCAAGTCTTTTCAAGTCTATACACTGATGATTTATACCAGTGATGCCAGCTGGTGCTAAGTACAAAAACATCTGTATAGGTAACATACATTTTACAATACATCCCCTGTAGTTCTCTACTGGGTCAACGACAAAGTATCGGGGAGAATCCCTCCGTTGTGTCGTGTATTGTAAAATGTAACCTTCACAGGGGACACGGCGCAGTGTCTATTGACAGCTTGCTGGTTTGTTGAGCATATTAGGAATAATATTGTAAGAATCATGGAAGATGGGACGAAGTCTACAGCAGCAGTACATCCCTCGTTTTTCAAATCTACAGATTTTTTAATTTCACGGACAGCAGGTGTTTCCCGCCGTTTTTTTTAATTTTGCAAAACGTATTTGATCCTTTGGGGTAACGTATCAGTGATGTTTACAGCAGTAGATGAGAATGGTACACCTGGTGCATGGTAGGTAGGGCATAGCAGTCAGTTTGTATCATGTTAGCTTGTTTCTTGTTATGTTTGGTGTTGGTAAACACCATCAGTAGAGCACGGAAAGTAGTGTGTATTTGCTATTCATATGTCTACAAATATATCCGACGCTGATTTTCCATCCAAGCGGTGCGGAAACGGCATGCATAAGGCCGAGACCATGGATAACCCTTTCTGGTCAACCTTCCTATTGCCTGCGTCGTTCCCGAAGTTGAGCTTCGCATGTATTGTCGCTTGCATGTAGACACCACAACAACAGTTTTTTCACTAGCAGTCTTTCTGTGATGTTACCATGCTTCATGTAAGAGATACAACTCTAATATGTGGTTTCCAACCTTTCTGCGACGCATGCCTCTCAATTTTTCTTCAGCGTTTTCTAAGGTATGATCGCGTTCTTCTTCCGTTCGTTGTTATTGTTCGTTGGTGTTCTTCTTCGCTTGGATATAATAACTAGGGCATTAAGGGCCCCTCCGCCCCCAGTGGACGGCGGGGCCCGAATCGCAAGGCGAAAGCGGCGGGTAGGCTTGTAGAAAGAGTAGACCAACAGTTTCATGGAGGAGCTTGTCGACTGTTTGTAAGGTGGAAGTATGCACGACCGAGACAGAAAACGGCAGTGTGTGCGGTTCGAGAAACCTGACGTCTGGGCTTTCGCGGTTAAAAAGGTACTAGAGTATCATGCCCTATGGCACAAGACACCTCTTGTGTGGACAGGGAGGATTTTCGGGACCTACATTTGCAGCTGCTACCCTTACATCAGGCAGAAGAGCTTTTGCAACGCCACAATGTACGCGTACGGAACAGCACGTGGTAGAACACTGAAAACGTAGTCGAAAGAGAATCACGCAAGAAAAGAGGTGGAAACGAAAAATAGTACGATGAGCGAGTGGGCTGGAGGAATGCAGGAAAAGTTACGAAATAAAGGTACTTAGTATGTAGTCCGCCAGCTAGGGTTCGCACGCATGCAGTTCACGTACGTAACGTAACTTCCATTTTTCACCTGGAGTTCCAAGACGGCGGTCCATTGAGTGATATTGCGTAGAAGTACCTAACATGTGAGATAACAATCTGCGTTCGGAAGTACGGTGCATCATACAGAAGCGTAGGCTGCGTGTATCGCGCCGCAGGCGGTGTTAGCTGTGGAAACCCCTGACGCCGATGTGCTTGGGACAGCAGTGCATATACTTCATGTCTTGCGGCCGTGCACGTCAACGAGTTCTGTTTTCACGGTCCATATGTCACCGTGACCTGCAGTGACTCCCACGTATGAGGACGCAATACCTGTTTGCTGCACAGCTGGAGGCTGCGTGTATCACACAGCAGCGTGTATCGTGCGTTCCGTTGCCTTACCCCAGACGCCGATCTTGTTTGTGATTTGTGCACACCACATGGGAGCTTATAAGACAACCTTTGTTGTGGGGATATTAGCCGTTACCTGCAATGACACAGTTAGAAGGGCGCTTGACTGCTCGTAGTCGCTGTTCTAGCATCACCGCAAACAAACCTCGATTATGGTATATACTTACCTTCAATGATAACCCAAAATCACTCAGAAAATTGTGTAGAAAATCCCTCGCTATTTTCTAGTGAAACGACGTACGGTGACTTCCTACAAATAAATAAATCATCTTGATGACATAATGGTATGTGTGCTTGGTCGATTCGACATATTCAGCGCTGTATTTCGACATCGTCCGCCCTCTGGCGAAAGAGAAACACTGTCCACGATATACACGACATTGGTGATCCTTCTTTTGTTGGGACACCTTCATTACACCGTTGTTTTCTTTTTTCCTATCTGTTGCGGGGGCGCTTTATTCTTTTTCACCAATGGCGCCTAGGAGTATACACAGTAGATGTGCTCCGACATTGCGGCTGTTCTTCGTGAAAGTTACCCCACCCAGCGTTTCTAACAACACGATGGAATGGCCTTTTTTCTCTTTGGCGCTTGAACACACCTACAGGCAGGGACTTATTTCCCTCTTTCTCTGGCCTTGTTTCGGCGACATGGTTGGTGATCACTGATATTGTGGAGTTTTCGGTGTTTCATCACCAAAACAAATTAGCTATCTTCTCAGCTTTTCCCATAAGACGTTCCTTCATGTTCGAGTATGTACTTCCTACGGAGGGTGTGCCGGCGGGAATTTTGCACGCTTGCACAAAAACGTCTTGTTGAATCATTCGAAATCAACTTCCTTATATTCGTCTGTTACTATTTATTGTCCATTTCTTCTCATTTTCGCTGTTGGGCAGCAAGTGGCCCACCCTCTTCGCCCTCTTTAAGAGCACCAAACCAGCTCGAAACACCCGTGGAATTTGCACCTCATCCTTACTTCTTCGTCTCCACAACCATCCGTCACATTCTGGCCGCCAACCCATTGGGGGGCGTGGTGCCAATCCTTGCTCCTAGTTCTCTACTACAAATATCCTATGCTCGACGGTGGCAACGAAGTAACAAGAGGAGCCTCGACCCGAAACTAGAGATGGGCACCGGACGTGAAAAAACAATAACCGATAACCTGCTAGGAGGCGTTGTTCTCAAAATAAAACTCCGACATATCCGGGTTTTTTCAGTCCCGGTTAACCGGTTCAAAAAAGGACACGCCTCCGCAATATTTCAAAACTGGGTCTGGTGGCTTCGTAGCATGCATGCCCGTATTTCAACCACCCTGCCGGTGTTTGTGCAGAGATTCACGTGCACCATAATTGTCGTAGTACCAGAGAAGAGATGGGCACCGGAAGGGAACAACAAGAATGGGAAAGACTGGCTAGGAGGCGCTACTCTAATAAGAAACGGTGTACAATACAAGCGGTTTTCTTAGCGCCAGTTAACCGGTTAACCGGGTATAACCGGTTGAAAACCCTCCTTGTCGAATTTCTCCAGTTTCGTTTTTTTAGAACCGTAACCGATAGACGCCTACTGGGTTTCCAGTCAACCGGGTGTATCCGTTTTTTCTAAACGGTGCCCATCTCTACCCGAAACGGGCTTTATTTTCTCCGGATGTCAAGTGTACCGTTTCTGCGATGCGAATGAATTGGACAGCAGGGGACATGATAAAACTGTAGGTGCGGATGAGGTCGTTAGTTTCTCTCGTTACCCAGGGTGCTACCCGAACTCTCTTCATTTTTCCTCCTGTTCAACTCAGTGCCGCTATTCAAGTTACGCGTAACTTCTGTGCTCATCGTTCTGTGTTCTTGATCCACCTGATCACCCTCCCCACTTTCACCCAACGCTTGCTGCGCGCTCTTGACCCGTCAGGATGAAAAGTGTGGTCACACATTTGCTGAGCTGCGGGCATTTGCGCGGGCAATCAGGCGCGCCCTTTCGCAATTGGAACGAGTCGGGTCAAATGATGCACCGGCGCACAACATTGGCATTCTCGCAGCGAGCGGCGGACATTCGCTGTGCGCGGCTTGGCTTGCGATTCTGTGGGAGGGTCGCACAGTCGTTCCTTTAAGCGCCGAGGCTCCGGTACACCGGATCGATAGCATCCTTGCGGATGCCATGGTGAGGGTAGTGCTCGTGACCGACGAAGAAAGCGCTGTCGTCGCGATGAAGGCAAGTTGCCAAAACATTTCGATTTTGGATATCCGAAGGTTGGAAGCAACAGCAGCGGACGACGGCCCCGTGCTCTGCGACAGTGAGGATGATGTGTCAACCTCTTTCGATAACTTCGAGAAGCCAGCCGCCAGCAATGGAGACGCGTACCTCTACTACACGTCGGGTTCTTCGGGAGAACCAAAGGGGGTTTCCTCTGGTCACGGCCCCATGGTGAATCGCCTCCGCTGGATGCGAGAGCGGTGGCCATTCGCAGAGGACGAAGTATGCTGCCAACGGGTGGAACACGTTTTCATCGACTTCGTCGCGGAGGTTTTTGGCCCACTGTCGTGTGGCATTCCGATTATCGTCGTGCCGTCCGCGGTGCGGAAGAACCCAGTGCTGTTGAAAAGTTTTATCATCAACCACGGCGTTACACGGATAACGTTGGTCCCGACGCTGGCAAGACGTGTTGCCGAAGCAGCACTTATGGTGCCTTCCAACTTCGGGATGGCCTCCGAACGTAGCATCTCGGCGAAGATGAACGACGAAAACCACGGTTCTACGACGACGGGAGGACTTGCGTTTTTCAAGAACGTTCGGCTTTGGATACTCTCTGGGGAAGCGCTGCCGTGGGCCGTGGCCCGCAGCCTAGCACGGCTCTCCATGCCTAATTCAACTCTGCTGAACCTCTACGGATCTACTGAGGTGGCGGCAGACATTACTTTTTTCAGTTTGAGCTGTCAAAGTGATGCCTTGGCCACGAGCGACGGCAAACAAGGCGCAGAGGAACGGGTCAGGAACCCGCCTAGCGTTCCCATCGGTCGACCTATCTCTAACTGTGGCGTGGAGCTATTGGAGGTGGCGCAACATCACAAGCGACGGGATGAAATACCCACGCGCGACGAAAGCCCGCCGCAAAGCCTGCTCAGGATCGGTCCCGAAGAACAGGGGCGTGTGGGCATGCTGTACGTGTCGGGGGCTGGGCTAGCGCGTGGGTACTGGGGGAGACCGACGGCGACGCGAGAATGCTTCCCCTCTTACACGTGGGACTCGGCGTCTTCGTGTTACGAACTTTGTTCAAGCGATCCTACGGAGGCCTTGCCCTTGCATGTGAACACCCCGACGTTACAACCACATGGTGACGGAGACGCGCGTGGTGATGGTGAAGACATCAAATCTGGGTGTCAACACGGGCAGAAAGTTCGATTTTTCTGTACAGGTGACCTGGCATCGTTCGAAAGAAGCCAAAAAGGCGGAGGGTGGAGTCTTGTGTGCCGGGGACGCCTTGACCAACAGATCAAGATCAATGGTCGCAGGTTCGACTTGTCAGAGGTGGAGGCTTGCCTTATTCAGTCCGGGGGCGTCACCCTGGGAACAGCCGTCGCTCTAACCGAACAGCACGGTGGCGGCGGTAAGGAAGGCTCCGATTCGGGGGTTGGAGACGTAGTCGGCGTGGTAGTTTCACCCGAGACAGTGGACACCGATCTTGTCCTGGCCGAGTGCCGACGCTGCCTGCCGAGTTTTGCAGTACCGCAGATCGTCGTTGCAGTCTCGACCATGCCAACCCTCCTGGGTAGCGGGAAAGTGGATCGTCGGGAGGTACGGAGGATGGTTTCCAAACATTGGCATCATCATCGCGGAATTGCCAGCAGCGATGGTTCCGACCAGGTGGTATCTGGCACCCGCCAAGGATCGACAAGCGTCCGTGACATCAGTGTCGAAAAGGGGATGAGTCTCATCAACGAGGCCGTGGTACGCACGATTCAGTCCTACGACCGTCTGGATATGCTTGCCGAGCGAAACCAGATTGGCGACGACAGCAACCTGTTTGTGGAAGTGGGTCTTTCTTCTGTTCAAGCAGTACGCCTTGTGCACGAGCTCCGACGCATTTTTTCGTGCAATGTAGGCCTGATGGACTTGTACTCGCACCCGAGCGCCCGAGCGCTGGCTCAGTGGCTGGCACTGACTGTTGGCGCCGAAGCTGAGGATGACAAGACACAGCAGTGTGGTGACGTTGTAGCCGGAGAGGAACGGCTGCAGACCTTCGGCGTCGCCGGGTGTGCGCGTGTCAAAGGTGGCAGCATTGGCACGAGCAACGATAAAGAGGGTGGTGACGAACGCGGAGCTTTAGACAGCGCTAGCGATACGGGCGCAACCTTTACCATTCGGCCAATCACCGAGACCGTACTGATGGAGACGCGGGCCCTCGTCAGCAGCGTCTTTCTGAACAACGAGCCCCTTCTCTCGTCGAGGTTCGCCCGTTACCGTGCTACTCTGGGTCCGGTGGGAGCCGCGGTTGTTCGGCAATGCCACAAGCAGTTGGTTGGCCGCAGCATTGATTCGCTCCGGCGGGGTGGGGGGCGAGTGTTGGTTGCGACCGACAATACCAGCGGGCAAGTCCTTGGCTTCACCATCGGAACAGAGCTGACTGAATCCGCCCAGGGCTCAGGTTTCCTCGCGAGCAGCGTTGCTGAAGCAGGGAATCCATGGGGAGAAACGGGGGCAGGAAGAAGTGGGCCCACGAGTTTTCGCCGTCGCACCGGCACGACGCCGTGGCAGAAGAGTACAGAATTCCTGTTGGGATTGCCACTCCAGCCAATGCTGCGACCGGTTTCCGCCCTGGTCATGGAGCTCCTAAGCATATACCAGTACGAGAGAGGGTGGGCTTATGCGCCGGGCGATGTCATGTATATATCAGAGACAGGGTGTCGCCCGGGCCAACGAGAGATGGGCAAGGGAACGAGCCAGCACCGGGTAGAGAGGGTGGCTGGAGGTAAAACAAGCAATACAGGCAACGGCGGGGTGCAAACTGCTCTCATGGCGGAGATGCTAGAACGGCAACTTCTACGCGATGCATCCGCCGGGGGGTTTCTCCGCGCCGTGACCATCTGCACAAATGCGGTCACCGCACATGTTGCTCGCGAGCTAGGGTTCAGAGAAGTAGCCCGGATATCTCCCGTCCAGACGTACCACCCTCTCGATGACCAAACTTCGGAGGGTTCGCCTTGGCGGTGTCTTTCGCGAAGAAAAGCGCCGGCGTTGTTTTCAGCGGGTGAACACTCTGCCACTGCGCACGGGCGAGAGCGCAGCACACAACCGGGACCCTTCGCACGGGTGGCGGAAGAGCATGCCGACGTCATTTTGTTTGAGAAAGTTCTTGCGCCAGGTGTGCCGCCGGGAATGCTCTTAGGGTGCCGGCGGCAACAGGCAGGGATAATCGCCAAACATTCTGCGGCTTCGCTCACCGCACACTCCGACACCGCCACCGACGATGGATCTGACACACCTCGAATCCATGCTGTCGCTTTCGCTGCGGGCGAGCGTTGGCAGTTGGTGCAGGCTGGACGGGGCACTGGGCAGCACTATAGCGAGATGTTGGCGTTGCTGGCACGTAGTCTTCCCGGCCTAGCCTCATCTGGACGGGCTACAAGGTACATGATCGAGGATGAAGAGAAAGGGCAGGCCGCCTTCCTTCTCTTGACTGCTCCAGCGACGGCCTGTGGATCAGGAACGCCCGAAGAAGCAACAGCAGTAGTGGCTTCGTCGACGAAAACAGCACTAGAAGAACCAGGGCAGGTTGACGCTCCCGATGGTGCAGCACGCGCTGATGAAGATCCAGCGTGGACGGTTGCGGCGTGCATGTCTTGGCGTCGGTACACGAACCCACGCGGCGGGGACAACTTGCAGGAGCCGGTAGAGAGGGGTGCCGGAGACGTCGTGTCCATAGAACGGAGGATTGAGAACGAAGAACCACCAGCGAAAAGCGTCATGCCAGCCCCTTCGCGAGAATTGTTGGTTTTAGCTGTTGAAAGCCGCTGGCGGTACCGAGGGCTGGGAGCGGCGCTGGTTGCACGTGTACTAGCAGAGGCCCGCGAGGTTGGAGACTCTCACGTGCGTGTCCGCGCACTTTCAGAAAGTGTGGGTTTCTACGAGCGGCATGGGTTTCGGGCCGTAGACGATGAAGGATGTTTCAGGGCGGGAAAAGATTTGGAAGGGTCGGTGCGAGGTAGTGACGGGGAGTGTTTATTGGTTCATGACCTTGGGCAGGTACTTCACCGTTATTCGCGGTAGATACGAGGGTCGACTGTGGTTGGTTTTTATAGAGGAGATATAATCCCCACGATTGCGGTTGTTGGGTGGTGTGAAAAGGTTGGACGCGTGCACATATCTAACCCATGTCCTATATTCAGCACATATGTCAGCATGTGCAGAAAACGAAGTTAGCGGCCGACGTATGCATGCGAACGTTGCACCGGTTGCTATGCTGCCCAGTTATAGGCTGGTGCGCACCCCACAGAAAAAAACGGCGGAATATTGTCTTGAATGCCGCAGGTCGAGATTTCTAGTACAACTACATAGCTTGAAGGGTGAGCGCACAGGACGAATGGGTGCTTGTTGTGGCCCAGCTCGAAGCAAGACGGAGCGCGAAACACCTCAGCGTGTACCGTCCAGAGCAAAGAACGTGCTCAATATGTTTTTTCCCGACCCGGGCATGGAGTTGGTGAAGTGTTGTTCTATAGCGCCACTTCGACCACCCACAGGAACCGATCATTTTAGTTCGAACAGTTCTTCGCTTTCTTGCCCACACCAAATCTTTCTTAACCGGTATGGTAGGTGCCGGCTTCAGCGAAGGCACCGAAATAAAAATCCTACCGCCTGAACTTGAACAATTCCTTCTACACATTTCAAGCCCTTGATGCACAGAGTTGCTGGAGGGGCAAGGGCGCCAGCCATATCGGCACATGCCGGCACCAAGGAATACGGCCACTTAGCCGTTCGCCCCGGCTGACAGGAAAGGCTTTGAATCGTAATTGTGGGCGGTCGTTTCCTCCCGATAAAAGACGCCCGAGAGCTGACCAACGTCGTTGAGGTCTAGATACATCACACGCTCTTCGTCTCTATCGTTTTCGAGGATTTTCTCCACCTTAGTGGTGATGGAGGGCACCCACTTCTGAAACAATCGACGTCGCCAAAATATCGTCTCAGTTTCCGATGCTGCCATCCAAACGATCCACCGCACGCATGTCATCAACTGTCAAAAATACTTCAACCACTACCCCATTATTGGACTCTCCTGCTGTGCCGCACCGTTGCTTCGCACTGTCACCACCATCGCCGACATCCCCCGACTGCCGGTCACCTCTATCTCTCAAGGAGGAAAAGGCACCATCAACTTTCATGAAAGCTTGGTGGTTTCCTTTGATCCGGTCTAGGTTTGACGACCGTGGGAGAATGATCGCCCCGCTCTGTAGGGCCCACGATAGCGCCACCGTCTGTATTGATGTGCCATGCGCCGAGGCGATCGTGATGAGGGTGGGGTCGGTAGAAACCGGGTTTGGGGACGATGAAGACGACGGCCGGTGTGCCCACTGTCCACCTAGGGTGCTGTAGGCGATGTAAGCAATCCCTTCACGCGAGGGGGTGAGTGGATATCAAGGGTAGATCGTGAAGTAAGAGGTTGAGAAGAAAAAACGAAGGCGTTGTCAAAGCAGTAGGCGGGAACAGGTTGGCCTATCACCCCGCGGTTTAGACTTGCTACATGAAGAAGGGTACTATTTTCTCCCCACTACAGTACCACTCCCCACTCCCACACGAATTGAGTCACCGACATATGATAAGACGCGTACAGGGTAAGTGAGTTACTATGGAGCACGGTGTAAGAGACAACAGTTCGACCCGTTGCTTTCCCCGAGTGCCACCTGAGCAAAGAACACGTGTATCGATCACAGTAGTCACCCCACCTTGGACCGGTACCCTGTTAACCTCGCTGCAGATGCAGATGTACAAAGCAAATCGGCAAACGCGACAGACCGACCGGGATGGCCCGCTTACCGTGTTCGGCACACAGCGCTCGCACTGCCCTGTCTTGGTGAAACGGGTCCATCCAATTCTGCACCGCCGCGGGGGCGACAGTCGCCATCCCTAGCAATTCTCGGAGCAAGCTTTCCGAGAAGTTCGAAACCCCGATAGCCCTTACCGCTCCCTTGGAGTATAGGTCTTCCAGCTGTCGCCAAGCATCTTGCCACGGGGCCGGGCTGTCGAAGCATACCGTCACCACCGCCCCAAACAACGGCGAAGGCAAGTCGCGATTGCTGATTCAAGAAACAATGTTTTGGGTTCGCCCGTTGAGTTGACATTATCTGGCTGGCCAACCCTTCTGCGACCGTTTTCAAGAATGATGGTGAACGGTACCGGTAGTTGCGAGGAGAGTCTTCGGACTCGCCCCCCCGAAATAATCAGGATAAAGGTGGTTGTTTGGGAAAACAAGGACAAACCGGTCCGGGCGAGGCGAGCTGGTCCATCTCTAAGCACCATCGAACGTCGATACTATGCGTACGTGTATATGAGCATCAAAACTTGAACCCGGCCAAGCCAAACACGAGCCTTACCTATGGCCGAAATTAAGGAACGAACCGACAATCTTCAACCTTCGGCGGTCTTTAGCTCCAACTCGCATAGTTTCAACGCAGTGATGACGCCTTGGTATGAACTCACTTGACTGGGCACGACCCCGGCCAGCAAAACGGGGCGTGAAGCAGGAGCAGGTCAACCCCCTGAAAGGTTTTCAGCGAAAACAAAAAAAGAGGAACCGGACGTGAGGATCGGATGGGAAGGGAGCCGGAGTCGGAGGTCTGCAATAAATTTCTCCGACCTCGCTACAATACAAGCGAGTAGTCTTGATGGTGACGAATTTCGGAAGCAGTCGTTCACCGACAGGCCTTAAAATCGAGCCAAGAACGTGAGCTTTCGACGACGGGTACGACGCAGTTTCGCAGTTTGCAGGAACGAAAAACCGGGCAAGGAAAATCCGAAAATCCAGCCACAACACGAAAGCTTTGCTCACCTGCAAATTGCTGCTGGAGGCCTCCACCATGGCACCCAGCCGCTCGGCGCCGAAATCCCTCGGGTGTATCTTAGTCGTGACAAACACGTGCTCTCTAGGCAAAAGCGTCGCCCCCGACATCGCTGTGAACGATTCTCCTTTTTCTTCCCTTGGCGACAAATCTGTTTTCGTCGAAGTCGCCTGCTTGAGCGCCCTGCCAACAGCCCCTTCTCTGTACCATTCCTGGGCCTGCGGAAACGTCAGATGACCTGGTAACCATCAGTCAGGAGCAAAGGTAAATCAACCTGATACATGCATGTGGAAGACCCCATGCCCAAGAGGGCAGCAGAGCAGCATGGCGGCTAATCTCTACCCGTACACATGAAGCAGCTTTCAAAGAGCACACGAAAGTTGTCGAAATATATGTTGTGGCCCGGGCACAGAGTTTTCACGTACCAACCCGCAGATCGCGGCGAGCTAGACACAACATCTCTTGTGGACTGGATGACGAAATACCCCACAAATACAACCTATCTCTGGTACAGCGTGTCTCTTTCCTAGCGCTGGCTACTTGAGTTTGAAGTTGGAGGAAAGAAAATCTATTCAAGAGCCACAGAGGCAGGAGGAGACGAACGCAGGTAACGGCTATGTAAAATACCTGTGCCGTATCAATGTGCCGATAGCCCGCCGTCAGGGCCACTGCGACCGCCTCTTCTGTCGCTTGCCCGAGCCCGGCGGTGCCAAAACCTATCCTCGGGACTAACGGAGCGACAAAGAAGAGACAAACACGTACAGACGATCGAAATACGGCAAATGCCCGGCAATCGGAGTTATCGGTGTGAACGTCGCCTGTGACAAGTACTACGAGCTCAAATAGCGGAGATAGGAAAAAAGGAGACGGCACGAGTGGGATTTCGATGGCCGTGCACCGAAAACCAACACCAGAGTGTACGGACGAGACTCACTGCTGACCCCGTTGTTGAGCTGCACGTGCGAAGGCAGCTGCGGGACGGTCCTGCATTCCTCTCCACCCGCATCTAGGGCACCGGCCGCCGAGCTTGCCTGGCCACCCAGTAGCACAGCCATCAACCAAAAGGTTGCAGCAGCTCTAGCCAGAACCTTCGATGGCATAATCGTGCCGTACGTGTATCTCGCTCCACGCCGCGGAGGTACTCTCAACTGTTCGCGTGCGGACATTAAGGCAACAAAGCTTCGCGATTCACTGAACCGTTTGTCATTGAGCACGAAGTGACAAACTTGTCGCAAAAGGGTAAAGGGGGGTCTAACCGATAGCTGGGTGTTTGTGGGAAATAAAGAGGCCGCGCCGTAGTCCAAGTGTCCACGGCCATCAATGAGGGCGACGTGAGATTGTCGTTAGCTCGGAAACCGCCGTTGTTGCATCGCAAACCTTCAGAGTCAACCCTCTGGTGGTCGACTACAGCATAGACTGCCTATGTACATTACGGCCGCTGTCCTGCTGTCGATGCAAGCATAGATACATGGTCATGAGGAGATGTTGACATCAACTTTGACCTCAACTTGTTCCGCTGATGCAATGGCAGCCACACTCGCAATCACGACATCCGCGAAGGAATGTACAACCAGATACGGCAGTGCGGTTCGACGGGTATGACAAACGGTTCGTTGTTGCAATGTTGCAGAGTTACACAATACAGCAGTGTTGCAGTGCGGGATAATTCGTTTCCAGACATCGTCGCCGCACATTTGGAAATCAGATCACGTCATAAGTCGCGTACCGGCGGTACAGGGCGAGGAAGAATCGTGTAAGCTCCACAGCCGCAACCGCCCACCAAGGGACAGCACTTGTTCTGCTGTACGCGCACGGCCCACCCGCCAAGCCGCTGGCACCCTGGCCGTGGTCCGCTCGACCCCTCCCTTGTTTCCGTCGCAAGATTTAACAAAACCATTTTTTCAAAAATGTTCGTACCTGCGGAGCCCCCAAATTTGCAACACCGGTCTGCTGTTTGCGCCTGTGCTTTCAACGTGTCTCTCTGCTGTGTACATGCTCCACACTCAGTGCGTGACGCGTCGGGTCCAACACACGTGAGTGCTAGCCGTGGGTCGTACAGTCACAGATGTACTGGGTGAACAGCGTATTCTCCTTTGGGTGTTGTGTCTAGTACTCCCATCTGGGTGTCCTGTATCCCGCCCTTCTTCCAGGCCTTTGAGTCGCGCTCTGCTCTCTCCCTCGTCGCCTTGCCATGCCTGCCCGACAGCCTCGTGATTTGGCATGACCCGTATTTTCAACGTTGGACACATTACCGTGGGGATGTGCTCAAAACACAAGCCAATACATCGGACTGCTTGGTGCTGTTGCGGTTGCAATTTTTTTCATGCCCACCCAATCGTGGTTTTCAACCAGAAGGCGAGGCAAGCAAGGTCAACGACGCATTACACGCCAGCCCCAGCCAGGCAGCCTCTTTCGGTGCGTCCGGGCCTACGCCCACCCGAGTACTCTCCTTGGAGGACCAACATGAGCTCCAAAAGGAAGAGAAATGCATGGGAATACAACGAGGAGGTGAATATAGAACCTGCAGCTGATACGGTCAGGACACCGGAGAGCAATCGCAACCGCAAGGTACGCTGTAACTCGAAGACAGTGGTTACACGAGTACTACAGCAGAACAGCAGCTCTGCTCTGTAAACACCAGTGATGTAAACAAAAGGCACCACCTAGGAGCCCACGCAGCTCTCGCGACGCCAGTCTACCACACACCAGCGCCCGGGCCACATTGTCTGTATATCTTGAAAGCGCTGGTGGAGTACTCAGTCTTGCAGCACATGGCGGTCTATTTACCCATTTCTTGGCTTACAGCAGCAGTGTCTATCGAACCGCCTCCACCGCTCACATTAGTCATGATACGTGATTGCCAGCGCGGGCAGGGTGGTGTGTGCAACAATGCGGCCAGGCGGCAACCAAGACAGACGTGCGTTCGGTCCGTCAAGCCCACAACTTGATGGGATTCTAGCTATATGTCGTTTCACGCGCTGCTGCTCTTTAAGTGACTCTCTACAAGTACTTGTTTTATTTCCGAAGGTGCTTCGTAGCGTTTCAAGAGCAACCGGACACGCCAGCAGTCACATGTGGTACACTACATATCGACCGAGGGGTTTCCAAAGGGAAAGAGCACCGCGTCGTCCCCTACCCTACGCCCGTCACGTCAGATATCGATAACGCCCTCGCAATAATCCGTGCACAGCCCAACGCATCTATCTGCAGCGGTCCGAACACGATTAGTAAAAGAGCCTAGACCTGCGCCACCTCGGCAAAATGCACACCACAGACCTACCCATTTGATCCCGCCTCAACAGCTGCGCCCTCCCCCCCCCCCCCCCCCCCCCAAAAAAAAAAAAAAACCCCCCCTTTTTCCCCCCCCTCCTTCCCCCTCTAAAAAAACCCGCCCCCCCCCCCAAAACCCCTTTTTGCACCCAAACCCCCCCCCCCCCAAACCCACACCCCATTTCTAAATAAACCTTTTTTCTTCCCCCCCCCCCCTCCTCTTTTTCCCCACCCTTTTTCCAATTTTTTCCCCCAAAACCCCCCCCCCTTAACCCCCCCCCCAACAATTTAACCCCCCCCCTCCCCCCCCTTTTTTTTTCCTA